CAAAGGTGGTTAACTTAGTACGAAAAAAAGTTTTAGAATGATGCAGCCCACATTTGCAAAACCCTAATTTCTATAATTAAACTGTGTCACATTACACTATGACCTCTTACTGGCTGACTGGCGAATCACCAATTAAAATATATATTGGTTTAACAAATAACAATTTTCTTTATCAAATCTTGGTACAATATGTGCTTCTTGAATAATAAATCCAATAGGAATAATATTATATTCTTCAGAATAATATAACTGTGGATAGCTATAAAGCTCTGGTTTCTTTGAAAGAGTATCATACTAGTGAACTAGTACAAGTTCATATGGTTCTTTTGATAAATCTCGAAAGAATTTCAAAAGAAGCAATATCTATAGGAAAATACAACTTGCTTAAATACTGGAAAATAAATTTCTTTTGAAGGTAATTAGAATTATTTACTTTTCTATATTATACACCATCAACTGATTTATTCTGGTCTTCTGCAGGAGTAACTAAAATATTACTAAACCACTCTTTGTCCTAAAAATCTCCCGAAGTTCGCAGAATTTTACTGTTGTTTAGATGTATAGTCTCGTAAACTATAATACAGAAGTCATCGCTTTTAGAATCTTGCGAAGAAGTATTCAGAAAGGTATCCAATACAAAAATTATTTGTGACAAGCCTTCAATTAATTTAACATGTAGTGAATTTTTTGACTTTTTCAAAAGAATTACTTTTGACTCAATTTCATCCAGGTTTAGGTTCCAAAGAATCTTTCCAAATCTCTCAGCCTTTCTATAAATTATTTTATTGGTTGTTGATACTATGTATTTCTTTGCATTTCACTTGCAAGAAATTTTTTTTTTTTAAAAAAAAATTTTTTTTTTGATTGTTTTAATCTATTAAAGTTTGTAACTAACCGCCTTTATTAACTGCTGCATTATATTTCTTCGATTTGAAAATCGATGCGGGTTTTTAATATATGTTTTATGAAGCATTTTATAAGTTTTTGTAGATAGACCATTCAATAAGCCATAGTTGTGAATTGCAGTAACTGAATATAACAAGAATTTGAAGAATAATTTATTTTTATTTGTAAGTAGATAAAATTAGATTTATAGTAGAAGTTTAAAAATACCAGCATAATATCTCTAACTGTAAAATTTAGGATAACTACTAGTAGTTAACAAAGAGAAGATTCTTTTAAACTCTTTGTACCAATCTATAATTGCTTCCTATTTCAAATGATGACAAATTTTAGCTTTAATTTGTATATTAAAAAATTCAATATTTTGTCTTCAATGTGCTATTTAATACTGTAATATGTAGGGAAGATAT